TATAAGAGTAAAATAATATTTTAAAAACACAGGGAGAAAAAAGACACTGCTGATAAGCAGCCTATGCAAATATAAATGCTCCTCAACATGTAATGGGGTCAAGCCCTGACAAACCCAGCCTAAGATGAAAACTCACTCATTCTTACATACTCTAAACGCACATGTTAATCTTTACACAATTATGCTCTTCCTAAAAATTTATCCATTGCTCTTTTCACCTTATAGCATAAGCACTTTTTCATGTGATAGCTGAAAACCCATGGAGTTCAGGGTCCCACTGATTTGGCTTTGCACACTGGAGTCTCTAACATCCGTGAACGAGGAACACCCTCAAGCTGCTTCAGTAAGGACTCAGCAAGGCTGGTGCATCGATTCTCTTCCTTTTTATACCCCCTTTCTCTAAGGGTCTTCAGTGTGCTGTGATGAACACCTATGAGCATACAGCTTTCTTCTCTTATTTCTAGGAAGGAAACTGCTGAACTGATGGGGATGGAAGGGGTGTTTTTATTTCTTGGCTTTTTATCTGTATTATTAGCTTGCTTCTTATGAAGCTTGGACTTCTGCTCATCTTGTTTTTGGTGGAAATTCAGCTGGACCTGCCTGAGGCTGACTAGCCACCTCTGCGCCCTCAGTGGAACGAAGTTTGGCCTCCTACAAGCATTCATTCAGGTCTATCATTCACAAGTCCTTCTTTTAAGTGGATCAGATTTAAAATGCTTTTATCCATTAAGTGTTTCTGAAATTTATTTTTAATATTTAACACTACTTTTAGGTTTCATCTTCCACTTTTAAACAGGGATTAATGAGAAATGGGCAGTGGGTTCAGATGTCACCCCAACCTGAGCACCAAAGTTGGGGGCAGCGGTTAAAGATTCCTTTGCTGTAACGGGCTGTGCACAGGCTCCCTCTGTGCCTTCCGGCAGATCCCGTGTGGTGACCACTATTACTAAACACAAAATCGCCCATTCAGATAACACCTGAACCATACAGCTAACATTAACACCAACCAAAGACAAGTGATCCCAGAAGAATGTAGAACTTGCTGAGAAAGTTTCTAAAATAAAAACCATCACCTAGTAGCCAGTCCTTACTGTGGCCACTTCTCCACATCATCGTTAGAAAAGTGAGTAGGGTGGGTTTTATCAACTCAGTTCCTTAGGTCAAATCTTATGCAACAGCCAGGCAGTTTTGCACTGACTAGATTTTTCTTTCATTTTTTCTTTTATTTTATTTTAGTTTTTTGAGACAGAGTCTCACTCTCTTGCCTGGGCTAGAGTCCCGTGGTATCAGCCTAGCTCACAGCAACCTCAAACTTCTGGGCTCAAGCGATCCTCCTGCCTCAGCCTCC